AACACTTTTGGAAAAAGTTATGGGTAATTTCATCATTGATCAATAGGCACATTAGTAATTGGAAGTTATCAGTTAAAAATAATAGCTACTTCAAAATAACCTGGCTATGTATCTGATTTGATATTTTACTTTTGTTGCTCATATTGCTAAAATAGCTTAAGGGTTAAAAAATTATGTGGTACAGAAAATTGCAGCTATAATGCCTTTCAGATTGATGAGAGTTTTAAGTATAATTTCACAATTCATTTTCAAATGAATACTGTAAGGTCTGAGAAATCTCTGCTTTAATCCTACAATCTGCAGCATCCTGCCCCCACTTTTTCTTTTTTTTAGTTTGGTGTGGTGATGTGAGGATTTGTGCCACTGGGCAGAGTCTAGTCCTGGATATCTGCATTTACTGGGCTTATTTCTCTTTAGGGTTGAAGTCTCTCCTGGTGATAAATGTGGTGCTGAGAAAGCTGCACTCACTCTCCCAGAGACTAGGGCACAATTCAGTGAACTGTAAAAGTAATGCAAAATGACAATTAAACTAGGGCATTCTCTGGTACCTTGGGGGCCTGACAAAGTGGAAGCATTTGACTTCTGATGTGCCACACTTATTAACACAGAAACCTAATAACATTTCACCCACTCCAAAGTCTCACTGAAAACCTTAGCCATTGTAAGGGAGCTGAGAACAGAAAGCAATAAGAGAAGACTCCTAAACAGATTTAAAAAAAGCATGCAAAGAACAAAACCCAAAACATTGCACTAAAGTTCATGCATTGAAGATCATATAATTTCTGTCTTAGAACAATATCCAAGCTTTTGACTCCAAACTCATTTTCTAGACTATTTTTACAAATATAGTTATGTAATTTCCAAACACAGTAGAGAAATGGAAGAGGAATTGCTTTTACTTATACTAACAGCACTGAGAAGTAACAGCACTGAGTTGCAAGTTGATTGAGATGTATATGTTGAAAATTAAAGATAAGTACCCCAAAGAACAAAATACGGGGATTATTGAAGGTATAGACAAAGTCTATGTGGTACAATGACATGTTCAGAAGCATATATACTTCTTTGTTGTATTTAAGAAGGGTATCTACGTGATACATTTAAGAAATAAGGCAGAATGCTTAGGGTTTTAAATTAAAGTTTCGGTTCTTAAAGGGGAAAGCCCTAAGCTATCTGGAAAACTGAACTATCCAGAAATATTTCTTCTTTGAAGGTTTTAGACAAGTCAATGATTTTAGTAAACCTAGGCCAAGTGAGAATCTTGCTTCCAATTAATTTGTAGGAAAAACAAAATGGAACATAATTTCTAACTAGAGAAATGATTTGCAAGAATTATGCTAAGTTATAGAAGTGCAATGTTTATTTGCCATCAAGAATAGAAATAAAAGTTTGTTTTAGTTTCATTTTCAGTGTCAAAATTAAGTTTTCCAGAAACAAATGCTGTTCATGTCTTTTTGCTGTGTTTCTGTGTTAACCTGGTTTGTCTTATTAAAGACAAAGACATTTCCTAGTGAAATTAATGTGACATTTAAAGAAAATTTCCTCTCTCGAATGTTTCATGTTATTTGTCATTTAGAATATTTAGAGATGGGACTGGAATAATGTCAAGCAAATTTTGATTAAATAAGGCTAGCCATGAGCCAATACATTCATGAAAAAAAGAACTTTTACTTTTTTCCAGAAAAATGCTTTTTTCTGTAGTTCTTTATCTTATATTAAGATGACTTCCATAGATAATATAGTAGAAAGTATCATTTTCTACAAATCTCGACTTAGAAAACACAGAACAGCAAGTTAAAAATCTATGACCAGTTCTCTGTTTATGACTTTATTCTTTTGCCCTGGAGATACGTAACAATTACCTGAGAAACTTAAAAAAAAATTTAGTGCCTGGGCCCAAGTCCATGTCAATTTTCTCAGAACTTCTTCAAGTGGATCCTGTCACCAGTACATTTTAAGAATGTCCTTGAGATGATTGTAATGTGCTGAAAACCACTTGCCTAAGACATGTTAACTGTTCATTAAGAGAAGCTTGTTTCTATTTTTATGGTGGTTTGAATGTCTTTTTTTTTTTTTTGGTTGATAGTGGGGCTTGAACTGTGGGCTTGAGAGCTGTCCCTGTGCTCTTCAGCTCAAGGCAAGCGGTCTACCACTTGAGCCATAGCGCCACTTCTGGTTTTCGAGTAGTTTATTGCAGATAAGAGTCTCACGGACTTTCCTGCCTGGGCTGGCTTTGAACCGCGATCCTCAGCTCTCAGCCTCCTGAATAGCTAGGATTACTCGCTTGAGCCACCAGCGCCCGGCTGAATGTCTCTCTTTGCTCCACCCAAAGTGAGAAAAATTTATTCTTTCAGTACACAAGATTGAGTTTGAGTACTTGGCCCCAGTATGAGATGGAATACTTGATGCCAGAAAATATAAACCCAGAATATATAAGCCATCACTGGTTAGTTAGCTCAGTGGTTTGAAATGTAGTATTGTTGCATAGGTTGTATGATCACTGCAACCAAGCTGTTTCATAAAGAGACTTGAGACTAATTTTAAAGGCAAAAGACAATGTGTGGAGCAGCATAGTCATGTTCATTCTGAGAAAGTTGGTTCTAGGGAACTGTCTCACTGACTGCTCCTATCAATTCCATTAGGGTGCAGTATGGAACACGTTTGTGATAGTTTGTGTTGAATTTGGGAGTGGACTACTTGCATTTGAAGTTCAGCACAAGAGCAAGCTTTTACAGTAAAGAGAAAGGAAGGCGATAAAGTTCAATGTTACTCTTAAAACCAGTAGAAGATCATGCCTGGTGCTAGGGTTATCCAATTTATAAACCTTTGGGAGTGGGGGAATTGTTAAGGTCACCATAATCAAGGCCTCTAGGCCTGTCTCTTTTCTTAACTCATTATCTGGGAGTGGCTAACCTCATGGAGAGATACATTATTCCACTAGGATCAAAAAGTGGTAGTCATCAGAGTTCAAATTTGCATTTTTTTCTTTGTGGAAATGTGATTCTGGCAACTGTGGAGGTCAGGTCTCCACAGAGCTCCCTATGTGATTCATAGTGCCCACAGGTTGGTTGCCCTCATATGCAAAGCTATGTCAAATTTTATACCTGAAAATTAGCTTTTCTTAACATGACAGCAGCTTGGGGAGTTGCTTGCACTTTTCCTACAAAGCCAATATCATCTAGCTCACTTTCTTCTCCTTTTTGACATGTCTGCTTACCATTCTCCTTCAAAAATTATTTGGTAAGTTTTGAGTCTGTGATGGACATGAATGCCTTATTGTTTTATTACCTGAACCAGGTCAGATTCCTGTCCTACTTAGGATTTCAAATTCTACAAAAAGCAAGTAATAAGGATTCTCCAACTTAACCTGTGAACATGGATGAAGTACTTTAGATTCCTGTTTCTATTGTCTGTATTCCACAAGGGAGAAAACTGAGGTACATAAAGGTTAAGAAATGTACCATAGGGGAAAGAACATACAAAGGAAACAAGAAAATCACAGAGTACAGCAAAAACAACAACAAAGAAAGACCTTTTGTGTCCATATATTGGGGTTCATTTCACTTAGCATCATCTTATATGGCCATATGCACACAGATTTTGAGCTTTTCTGCTCATCTAATAAAATTATCCTAGACATATACTAATTATTGAAAATGAGGGAAACCAGGGGACCTATATTTCTTTGGGTCTGGCTTACTTTTTTAATTTTCTTTTTAATACTCTCTCCTTTCTTTATCTATCCACCTCCTGCTTTCTATCTACCCTAGGTGTTTAGGGTCCTTAACCTGACTGTTGGCTGTTTAGTGTCCGTGTCTTAGCTGGATTTGCTATTACCGGTCTCATTTTCTCCTCTATCAAACTGTGAACTCCTTGAAAGCAAGGAACTACATCTAAGAGCCTAGTGCAGTTAGTGTCTGACAGGTAGTCATCTGAAAGGAATCTGCTGTTTTGTTCGAAAGACAGCTATTGTGCTTTCTTCTCCAGGCACTTTCAGTTGAAATGATTGCAGAAGGCCCCTATGGAATGATGGGTATAGTGGAGGCTTGCTGATGGAATGGCAGGAGAGTGGAGAGGATGTGTTTGGGAATTTTTCTTTTCATACAATGGTTTGAGAACAGTTGTACTTCAATATTGGATGTAAGGTCCACTTTATTAGGACATTGACTTACTTCGGTATAGACTCTTCCCTGGCTTCCACTTCTTTTAAGACTAACACACACTCCCACTTTTAATCCACCCAGCCTCTGGGTGCTCATAAGCTGCTTTCCCATCTCTTTTATCTGGCAGGTATTCTACATTTGCTTTTGTAATGCCATTGCTCCAGCAGTCTACTGTAACCAGATTAGACAGTGGTATTTTAATGATAGGAGCTGAGACGGGTTTGCTTGCAAACTTCATGTTTCACATGAAAGGCTTTGGCATCCCCTATGGACTGCCCTTCACCCTGTTTTAGGCATAATACTTGTTTGCCTTTATATCTGTGATAAAAATGAAAGCTTTCCTGCATAACTAGTGCTGAGAAAATGTCTTAAAACAAAGGGAAGTGCAGAGTTTAAGTCCACAGTAGGAGATTACCTTGCTTGGATTTCCATATCTTTGGAATAAATACTTTAACATGTTAATTATCTATTACTAATAAGAATACCTTTGAACTCCAATCAATTTGATGGGCATAGAATAGTCTTCACTGGGGAATGGTGAAGCAATTAGTTTCTGTAAGTATTCTGAGTCATATTGTCTCCTCCATAAATGGCTACATGGTCAGAAGCCAGCCATATTCTAGGGAATGTTTGTGTCCGGTCCTCTCTGGTCTGCAGGGGTGAGGTGCTGCCTTCATAGAGCATCCAGGGAACCAAAGAAGACATTGCTCAGGCAACTGGTTTCCAATCCATTTATTGCTTCTTACCTAGTTAAATTTTTTCTTTTAAGTAACATATTTGTATTGTTCATTTGAATCATCCATATAACCTCTCTCATCTTTTTATTCCTCATTACAGACTGAAAACTATTCTTTTGACTCCAACTATGTGAATAGCCGAGCTCATTTAATCAAAAGGTATGTCTTTTTACTTTCCTGTTTCTTTTTGTTTATTTAATTAAAAAATTTTATTTTTGAGTCAATGGTACATTTGTAATGTAATATTTCCACACATGGACACGGTGTACTTTGAACAAATTTTCCTAATATATCTACCATGTTCCCATTTTGCTTGCATATTTCTATGGTTGTTTAATATATAAAGAAAAGCTAATTTGAACTTCTTTCTGGATTTTAAGGAGAACGTTTATATGCTTATTACAGAATTTTAGGAAAATTCAAGAAAAGTATAAAAAGTAAGTAAATATAACTGATAATTCCATCACTTTTGGCATATTTTTTCCCATAAAAATGGGGGATCTATTGGAGGTGTGGCTTAAGTGGTAGAAGAGAACTAGCCATGAACAAAAACCCAACTGAGACCTCCAAGCTTTGGGTTCAAGTCCTAGTAATAGCATACACACAATGTTTATGTAAGTATTCACAAAAGCAATATAAACTTAGGATATATTAAGATGTGGCTTTGTTGAAAATTTAAAATTCAATATTAGAAACAGCAATATATTATAAAATTTTCAAAATCATATTGACAGAAAAATTTTGGTTGCTACTCACATACTTTAAAAGCTTTCCCTCAACTGGAACTTCCAGGGAATTCAGAGATTGCTGTTATTTATTTGCAACTTTGACATTTTAAGGATAATTTTAATGATAAACTATCCTTCTAGAGGAGAGTAAAATGAATTTTCCTGACCCAATACTTATTAAGGTATTTTGTAGTGTTTAGAAGAGAAATTTGAAGTAGAAATTTGTATCATCAGTTGCTCTTAATTTAGCTATCCATTGAGTTACAATTCATACAAGTACAGAGTTGAGCTGCCTACTAATAAGTTTCCACCCAGTTCTCCAAGCCTTAAAGTCATCCAATGGGAAAAGGACAGGGGTTTAGGAAGTCTTCTAAGAAAGAAAAACTGAGACAAGAAGAGAATTTTTGTGCACCCCTCTAAACAAATCAAAGCAAAGCAAAACAAAACAGTGTTTGGCCATTCAGATGATCCACTTATTACTGTTTCATGTAAATAGCCTCTCAAATGATTTAGTGATTATTCTGCAGTTAATATTGAGCACTGAATATGTTTGTTAAAATAATAGAAATAAAATGAAGAGGCAAGCAGGGTATGTTAGAAATGGGGTAGAGAAGACCTGAAAATTCGATTATTATTCTGGCTTTAAATCCATAAGTTTACATCACTAGAAGAGTAGAATTCTAGGGATAAACTTATCTTGCTATATAAAAACTTGAGGGCTGGGAAAGTGGCTCAGTGGTAGAGCGCTTGCCTTGCATGCCTAAGGCCCTGGGTTCGATTCCTCAGCACCACATATGCAAAAAGAAAAAAAAAGCCGGAAGTGGTGCTGTGGCTCAAGTGGTAGAGCGCTAGCCTTGAGCTGAAGAGCTGAGGGACAGTGCCCAGGCCCTGAGTTCAGGCCCCATGACCGGACCCCCCGAAAAAAAAACCAAAACTTGAATTTGTATCTAATTTAATCTATGATCTGGCAGTAACTTAAAATAACTATAGGTTTACTTGTATTGGTCTGGGAAAGCTTGTAACCTTAAGTGATGATCATTAGTCAACTGAAAAAGACTATCCTTGTATATTACCAGTCATAACATACTTTGAAATTTTTCTGAGGTGTTGGGGACAAGCCATTTAGAATATTTTCCTGGCCTGAAGAATAAATCAAAAGGTACATAATTCAAAATTATATGACCATCTTGTTTTAAGAAGAAAGAAAAACTGTCTTTACATGCATTAATTAGAGTGGCTTTGTAGGAGAAATTGACTTTGTTTTGTGCTTCAGGATTATGATTTTCTTTTTTTAATTTAATTTGTGAACATACTGTACAGAGGGTTTACAATTACATGGGCAGGATAATGCGTACATTTCGTACCAAGCATTTCAGCCTCCTCCTTTGTTTACCCTTCACATCCCTTCCCAGCCTCCCCCCTACCCCCCAATCCCAATGCTTCTCCCCCCACCCTGCACCGATGTTGTAAAGCTCATTTTGGACATGACAACTTGTACTTCTCATTGTTGTAAGAGGTCCACCTGTATCCTTAAACAACTGGTTTTTCCCCATCTCCTCCACAAGTTATACTGACATCAAATATAGTGAAAGCAGGGTTTGTACTGTGGGGGAGGGATATACAAAGCAACAAAAAGATAATCTTATAAATGCATTAGAAACAAATGCATGAAAGAAAAAAACATTAAAATACATATCTAAGGGTTCATTTTCCTGACATCACATTATCTGACCTTTTCCGCTTGACTCATATATATACT